TTTGTGCACCGCATATATGTAGCTATATAGCACCACAGGAATGCTTTATGTGCCCTGAAGACCAAAATATCACCTTGGCAAGTTTTGAAAACACCAAAAATTAGATTCTGAGAAAACTTCAAAAACAAATCAGGCTGTTTTTTTTAAGATTTTTTTAAGATTTTTTAAGATTTTTAAGATTTTTTTAAGATTTTTTAAGTGTTGTTTCTTGAACAAACCAGATGCAACTGCACAGATTTGTTCAGTTTTTTTAGCACACTTTAACTATCCGAATATATTTTATGCAGGTAAATTATTTTCTTAGATAATAATTACAATGCATTTATTGCCTAAACCACAAACATTTATGTACATAGAATTACACAGTCATTAACACATATGTATGAATACTAGAAAGCTTACGGAGGGCACTGCTGTAAGTTGATAAAGAATTACTTCTCGCATTATAGCACAATAAAGTTCACTGCATGCACTGTAATTAAAAACAAAGAGATTTCTCTAAAAATAAAAAAAATTGGAGCTGCACATATAGATAGGCTTTGAGCGATGCTCTCTGCGCACATTTAGCTGCATTGTGCAAAAGAAATTATAGCTCTAGCTGCCTAGGTCCACTTTTACAGAACAAGCCAACAAGGAAAGTGGTCAAAATATGTGTTCTGAGAAAAAACGGTTAAAACTTTCTTTCGCCATTGCGAGTGAAAAATATCATGGCACACATACTCTTACTCTAGTCAGTTTATATGCGCCGGCCATGTAATTGGAATGATTGTTTGCATATGCGTGTCGTTTCTTCAAGTTCTGCTACAAGTTCTTGCCGTGTGCTTGTCTGCGAACAAGGCCATTTATCAGTTCGTTGACGGTACTGATGCCAATGTGCGACGAATGTATGCATGTCATCCGTGATAGTCGTATGACACCGAGATGTTTTCTGGCTTGTCCAGATTGAGTTACACGGATATGTCACTAAACGAACGTGTGCACTCTCTAATTAATTTCGAGGCTGCAAAAAATAGCGAGGTGTTAGTTTCCTTTTCACGTAGGACTGCCACATTTTCCAGTAAAGATCGTGACCATTGAACGACGTGTGATGTTCATTGTTGCAAACATGTCGTTAAAAGTTGTCTGCCCGTCACTAGTAACTTACATTGCGCGACCGGCGAGCACGTTCACCTTGAACGGATTGATTTTTTTTGTTATTCGTCGACGCGCGGTGTACTCCACTCTGACAACCCGTTACCGCAGCATTGGCACGTGTAGCGATAAGACGGCGCTTCCATTTCGTCCCTGCTACAACTGATATCCCTCGCAGCTTCATATCTGCTTTCTTCTTGGCGTCCTATAACTGTTGAGGCTACAAAATTTGTGTGCCAATGCCCATGAAGCCGCTTTCAGCGACATTGCAGCAATCACCGGGTTTGCAGGTCCAGTGTCCATTAGGCCTATTCCGGCGCCTCAGCGGCCACTTTGCTGATTGCCACGAGTTCGTCATTCACATTGTCCCGAGCCATTCTGGGGCTCTTTTCAGAGTTCTCAGGGGGCGATTGCCACACCCGCTTTACAAATTTTCGAGGCGCGAAACTTCTTGATTGCAATGGGCAATCGACCACACCACGACAAAATAGCGTATGCCCGTGCGCGTATCCACAGTGATGCAGACGCCAGAAACACCACTTGGCCAATCGAATGCCTATGTTTTGTCACGTGCATACAGAATTGGACACTGGTACTTCTTCACGACGTGTTTTTGCTAAAAACTAATGAGCAAGGTGAGCCAGAGGTGGCAAGAAATTGAAAATGATGAAAAGCTTTCCCAAACGAGACCGAGATGGCCATGATAGCCCATGTGTAACAGCAACGGCTTGGCGCAGAAAAAGCACCATTTGTGCGTCTATTTGTGCCAACATTCATCTCATAGAGATGTTATAAATTGATTTTGCCCCAAAAATAATAATAGAAGAAGCTAGAAACTTCTCAAATAAGTGCGAAAATAGATACAGACTCCGAAAATGTTTGATTAAAAAGTAAATTTTTTCACAATTTTTGGCCTTCTAAAGCCCGTGGCCCCCACACGGAATGTACTCGTGTGACTACGATTTTCTTAAGTACTGTTGAAGGTGTTGCACGAAAACATCCGGAGTTGCCTTTTGGTCAAGTCTCCTTTATCTCGGGTTGCAAACGAAACATCCTCCTCTTATGGAATCCTAAGTCCGACACAAGGTGTGGGGCACGAGTCACACAAGCACAGGAAACACGGTGAATATTGCACTTTACATATGGTCGGATGACCAAGGTCCTCGACCATCTTTTTTTGAGTAGTGGCTATTGCTAAGGCTCGCGCACTTAGCTTAGCGTTTGCACAGTACGTGCCGACACAGACTTCGTGAGGTGAAGTGCTCACAACCTGTTTCGGCCTCTGGGAGGATTTCATGTATCTGACTGAGCTGCTTTAAACAGATGAAACATTTCTGAAATAGACCTGGTAATCAGCCGTTTGGAAATGTACTCTTTTAGTCTTTTTATCTAACAGCAATAACATCTTTCTTGTTAGGGCTTTGTTGGGTGCAGTTTAGTTCTTTTTTCATTGCTGCCTGAATGTCTTCTTGATTCAGCTTCGACCTGGTATACTAGAGGCACGGACTTGACAACACGGCAAAGGTGTCTCGAGTTTTTTGGATGTCCGAATGAGGTGGCGACTTGCCGATGTGATCATTCCTTGAATCTATTGCTGAGAAAGGTTCACAGGGAGCAATGTCAAGAGGTGACAGCGTTCGTGGAACGATTCGCAGGTATGGAACACATTCTTTATATTGCGCAGCCACTCACAGCCCGTATTGCGGGTTTCCCCTGAAGAAGCAGGTTTCTCTGTGGCCCTGTACGCTGCTTTAAGGCCACAGAAATTTTCCTGGAGACAGCACCCTCGATCTACCGCTTTGTTATGCTTGGTGTAGGATGCTCGATAATGTGTTTTCACTTTCGCCGGAATTTCCAGGGGTGTCACATCGGTTGTCTGAACGAACGTGTTTAGCTCATCAACAGCAGTTTGTTCTAGAACGAAATTTTCGTCAGACTTGAGATTTTCCCGGAGACTTAATAAGGCCATTTTCTTAATAAGGCAACACTCAAATCTTTCACACATCGCAAGTTCCACTTGCAGGCAATCTTCTTTTTATGCTTTTTTAGGTAGTCAGGGCAAAACGCTCGCTTCGAGCTTCACAAAGTAGCCATGAATCTCAGGAGGATGCTATACGCACACAAGTACTCACGTTCATTGACTAGTAGATGACTGCCGGGTAGTGAATGAAGAACGGATATGAAAGTTGATGTTCTCTAATGACCTCGCCTTTCTGAAGCGAGGTGAGCTGTTTCCTTTTTGTGTTCTTTCTTTTTTAGGGAGCTGGTGAGGACGGTCGAGTTGTAGACGCACCACTTCTGCTGCTATGCACTTTCTGCGTTATCAGATTCCTGCCATGCCACGGGAAGCTATAAATATCCAGCAGTAGATTCTCTCCAGCCACACTCTTCCTGAGGTGTGTACGCAGGCTTGCATTCGCAAAAGACCTTGAAAGCGATTCTTGCCAAGAATGTGACTCCGCATTGCAGCATGCTCCATAGCTGAGATCCATGTAAAGTTTCAGTGAAATGCAGAGAAAAATGCAATTTTAATTGGCTCTTTGAAACCATCTGCTCCTGTTTTTTCAATCCGTGATTTATCTCCATCCACAAAACACATTCACGGCCTGAAAATATTGATAATGGCAACTACTGCTTCCTGCTCCCTCGATGCCGCAGTTCTTTTTTAGCACTTTTCGAGCTTTGTAACTCCATTTTCAAAAGTAATGCAACATGTTTTTACAGCTTAAGTTAGAGCACGTGCTTTGCTTCAATTCTGAAGAGTTTGGAGAAAATGGAAGATGGCTTTTTTTTAAATGGTCTTCAAAATATTGCATTTTCAGAGACATGTACTCAGTCAAATGTTTCTGCTTAACGTTTGACGTCACTCTCAACAATTGTGTTTGGCAGATTTATTAACCTAACATGTGGCAATGCTCTTGAAATTTTTTAGAAGTCTGCAATTTATACGCAGGGATAAAAAAATCTAAAAATTGAGCAATATTAAACTGTGTGCCGATTTCACGATTTCTTGCTTAAATTAACAGCGGCAAAACTGCCAAGCAATAACGGTTTTTCAAAGACAACTCTTCTTAGTACGTGGCCTAAACTATTTAGACCTGCAGCTACAACAGTTTTCTTGCGGGATCTCATCGAAATCCCATTTGCACGATATTCTAAGTAAGCAGTAACACCTGAGTCGACACTTGTGAATTTTTTTTTTGAGAAGATAAAATTTTTTTATTTTTGCCGTCTCGAGAACTCAGAAAACAAAATATATTTTTTCTGCCGAAATCAAAAGGTGATGGCGGACATGCACCGACATTCTTATCTCAACACGGCTATCTGCAACAAAACACTAAAAGCACTGCACAAGGACCACCATGAGGCAAGTCGTCCAGTATGCCTTCGACAATAGGCGTGCGGTGATTGGAACAGGCCTTTGATGTCATGAGGGAGTGAAATGCAAAAGAGACTTTTTTTCATTGTCTGCTGGGGTTTAGAAGTTTGCAAGCTGGTAACTTCTGTTACTGTGCACCAGTCATATGATACAAGCATATAATCATGCGTGCCCTTTGCACCAGGACAAATGAGTTTCATTGCCAATATTAACAAGTCAGTAGTCATTGATTCTCAAGGTTTTCGAATTTTCTTAGCTTTTTCTTGAAAAGCTACACATAATGCCCTCTTGAGCTTCCTTCACTTCATCAGGTTGTGTCCAACACAGAAGCGAGCCCTCGGTCCATCCCCTTTTTTTTTCTTCATTATTTCTTAGCCCCTTTGTTCTTTCATACATACTCACACTATTTAGTTTGGGTGCCTCGCATGGTACGCTCACTAGTGCAAGAAAAAGACCAGTGGTGCAGATTCTGAAAAGAGTAATCACTTGCCATGGGCGCTGGCCAGCTCTAGAGCTTGACGGCTGTCCTCCAGGCTGCCCCCGGTCACCAGTATCTGCATGGAACAAAACAGAAATCAAAGCACTGAACCTGTAGCACCTCTCACCAAGTAGCAAAGCACAATACCATACCATACATACAAGTGCACTGACAGTGCCCATTTAACATCTGCGCCCAAAACTTTGTTAAAGGGGCCCTGAGGTCCAAAATTTGTAATGAAAATAAATGCGTGCAGTTTTGCTATGTGAACGTGCTGCTGTAGCACTTTGCAAATATTTGCTATAATAAGGGAGCTGCAATATTTGAACGCATTCTAGCTGGTCTCAAATTTTCGCGCAGCCCCAGGACCCTTCTCTGCCACAGGGAGGGGGAAAGCGTAGCCCATCATCGTGACTCTGTGGACTTCGGTAATATGCTGGTTTCTTGAGCTGAAGTGCTGTTCTATATTTTTATCATAGAACCTGACCAACTCACCCAATCTGCTACTCTTTCCCTCCCTTTGTCAGGTTGCCGTGGACCATTGCCACGGCTCCTTCTGCCCAAACCTGAGTGGTAGCGGAAAGCTAAGAGCATCTGTTTCCAATGCAGGAGGTAACCTTTTTATCAAAAAACACCCCAGGGGCACGTGGATCACTACAAGAAAACTGTCCATACCGGGTGAGCTGGCTGTTCTGTCTGCCACTGCTTAGTGGTGCCATGCGAGCACGAAAAGAAAAGAATGTGTCACCACTTGTTGAATATCATTAAATCCTGAACACTAGGTATGTCCGAAGAACCCACCTTCATGTATTTTAACACATGAAATTCAAAAACATAACGCACTCAGTGCAGGTATCCCCGAGCGGATGTACAGCCTGTTTCACAATTTTAAAAAATCCCGTAGCCTGTGGCCCTGCTATGCGGCCATGATACGGCCAGCGCGGCAGTCGCGGGCCGGAAGCAACTCGCACGTGCGCAGATGCTTGAGAGGCATTATGTTGAACTGTTGAACCATGTTGTCGGCTACGGCAGCCCATGCTGGTGGCATTGTCAGTCAGCAGGCTAATTTCATCGTTGGTGCGGGAACTGGGCCGATATTTCTCATCATGTCACAGTATGCCTCAGTGCCGTTCAAAATGAGTGCCGTCATCGCTGCCATTGGGGACATGACAGGGCATTAAAGGGACACTGAAGTCAAATAATTTATATCGAGGTGATAGCTCAATGTATGACAACATCTAAAACAACAATATTACCAAAAACGGTGCCCTACTTACCACGAAATTAAGGTAAGTGCACAACAACACAAGTGCCCGCAGTAGAAATTTTCAAAATGATCCTGATGACACAAGACAAACCGCCTACAATTAATCACTAGTAATCGATCTAACTGCACTAAATAAAGAACTTTCCGTGCATCAAGAGATGCAATAAAATGTTGCTTGTTCATTTATGTTTGATTCATGGAAAAAAGAACCACCGGAGATAAAACTCCATTGTCACGTGGTTACACAGGACAGATGGTGCCATCTAGCGGGGCGCAGTTGAAACAGAAGCGTCTGCAATCTTGAAGCCAATGGCGGGAAATTGATCAATGGCCGTTGTTGCTACTGTGGCTCCCAGTGCTTTCGCTGTGCTGCTACTAGCGCAGTAAGGCCAGGCAACGTTGTGCGCGGCAACGGGGACGTGAAACGGTCTGGTCGGTCCACTCTCTTGAGGCAGGTAACTTGAAGTGTGCTGACTCGATACGGAGCACTAAAACGTGAATTTATTACGAAATAGGCCCTTCCTTGGCAAAAAAGTAACACTACGAGGTTTCCGGATCGCCATTTCAACAATCAACGCCAACTTCAGGTTGACTTTAGTGTCCCTTTAAGTGAAGTTGGAAGCTTCACGCGTGCATTGCAGCGCCGGCGAGTGAGCGCTGCCTCAAATAATGAAACGCCATCGAGAAGAAGCACATGCAGGTTGTTATCTTAAGCTACAGCACTTTTGAACTCATTCTCATTTGTTTAATTGTTTTGAGCCCGCATAGCTGCAAAGCAGTCACTGTGATGTGCTTCATTTTCTTCTTTCTTTTTATAACTTGAAATAAATACCACGCACAGTACGTGCTTATTATGATATTCCCAGTCGCAGCGTATTGCAGTTCGTACACAAATAAATGAAAAATATACGCGAATGCACTCAGTACCACAGCATTTCGAAAAACAACATATCGTGTCGAACTATTTCTAGAACCCCATTATTGCCAATGAAGGCTATGAGGTTGGTATCGCACAACGTTTAGTATAGAATATTGCCACATTCCCTCCTCAAGTTTTATTATTGTTCCGTTTCACTGTCAGTACTTCTCAGCACGAATCGCGCCTACACTGTTCGAGAAGCCTTGGGATTGCAGTAGATCACTTTGCTAAGATTACGCCCCCTTCGTGAATATTACAGATTATTCTGCAGGTCCAGCAAGCATTGGGAATTCCCAAACCAGCGCATTTTCATACAGAGGCTATGAACTACTTTGCTGCAGTGCGTCGAAGCGCTCCTCCCCTCCCCACGCCACAGTAAAGGCACCGCACCACAGCAGTTCCACTGCCAGACACCGTCGCCGCCACCACTAATGCCATACCACCCACCTTCAGGCCAGCGCAACGCACCAAGGAAGACAATTGTGTGCCCCCCCCCCCCCCCCCCCCGATCACCGCCCACTCAGCTACCACTGCAAGGAAGCTGGCCACACCTACCGCCACTGCCAGTACATACAGATGGGACTGCGTGGCTTCGTTGTCAATGCACCGCGTCCGCGACCAGGGGAACGGCCGTGTGGGATCGCAGACTACATGGAATGAGCGCAATGGACACCACAAAGTGCTTCCCGTCCACTGTCGCCAAGCCGCCGCATGTCACCGCACTACCGGCAGTACTCTGGCCCAACAAGGGGCCGGTTTCTTAGCTCTTAGCCCGTATCCGGGAAACTAAGAGCAGCAACCGATGAAGTGCAGTTGCAGTGCGCCGCATTACCAAAGATCCTCCGATGACGACAACGCCGTGACGAAACTTTTCAAACGCGATGCGAACCACGCAAAGCCTTGACGACGAAACCTCACTTACCAAAGATGGCCTGACAACGCAACATGGAAGCAGCAGAACAAGTCGACACAGCCGTGACGTTTCTGCATCAACCCAACATTTCTGCATCAATTACAGCCGCCTGAACAAAATCACGAAGAAGGATGTGTATCCGCTCCCACGGATAGACGCTTCTGACCAACTCCTACACGCGAGGTATTTTTCCTCAATGGACCTCAAGACAGGCTATTGGCAAATTGAAGTTGACGAGAGAGACCGAAAGAAAACCACCTTTATAACACCAGGCGGCCTCTTCGAGTTCAAGGTGATGCCTTTTGGTCTTTGCACAGCTACAGGGACTTTCCAACGTGTTATGGATACTGTACTGGCCAGCTTGAAGTAACGGACTTGCCTTGTGTACTTGGACGACGTCGTTGTGTTCTCCTCAAACTTCGACGAACACCACCTTGCGTTGAAGCTGTACTTCAAGCAATCAAAACCTTTGGGCTCACCCTCAAGTCAGAGAAGTGCCGCTTCGCGTACGAAGAACTCATGTTTTTGGGCTACATGATAAGCAAGTTCAGAGTACGCCCCGACTAGCAGAAGACAATAGCCATCGCTGCATTCTTTCCACCCACCGACAAAAAGGCCTTCTGTCGATTTCTCAGCCTGTGCGCCCATTACAGATGGTTCCTCCAAAACTTGACCTGGATCGCCGAGCCACTCACTAACCTTACTAGGTCCCACATAAAATTTAAGTGGGAAATGCCGCAGGAGGAAGCTTTTCAAGAATTAAAATGATGCCTGCAGATACCTCCTTTAATTGCACATTTAGACGAATTCGCCGAAACAAAAATACATACCGACACAAGCAGAGTAGGACTCGGCAGCGTTCTTGTGCAGAAGACTGGTGAACATGAAAGAATCATTTGTTATGCTAGCCGGTCGCTATCAAAGGCAAAGGCCAACTATTCTACAAAAGAAAAGGACTGCTTTGCAATCATCTGGGCTACATCAAACCATTTCGCCCCTATATTTACGGCCACCCTTTAAACATGTAAGTGACCACCATGCCTTCTGTTGGCTGGCAAACCTGAACGACACTTCGGGTCGTCTCGCAAGATGGAGCCTGAGTCAGCAAGAATTCGACATTTCCGTCCGTTACAAGTCTGGAAGAAAGCACTCTGTCGCCGACTGCATATCTCATGCTCCCGTCGAACCACCATTGAAAGACGACTCAGATGATGACTACTTCTTGGGAACCATAAGTGCCGGCGACTTTGCCGAGCGACAACGAGCTGACTTGGAACTCAGGAGCCTTGTAGAATACCCTGAGGGCAAGGCCGCCGGTGTTCCAAAAGTATTCAAACAAGGACTTGAGTCGATGTTATTGCGGAACAATGTTCTCCTGAAAAAATACTCGCCACTTCGAACCAACTACCTCCTCATAGTACCTTCAGCGTTACGTCCAGATATTTTGGATGCTCTACATGACGACCCGACGGCTGGACACCTCGGTGTTTCCTGTACGCTTGCAAGAATACAGTAGAAGTACTGCTGGCCACGCCTATCCCCCCGACACCACTCATTATGTGAGGACATGCTGGGACTGCCAACATTGAAAGACACTGCCGACTAGGCCAGCCGGACTTCTCGAGCCCATCGAGCCACTTCACCAGGCGTTCCAGCAAATCGGCATGAACTTAACGGGGCCATTCTCTATGTCGAATTACGAACAAATAGATCGTCATAGCAACCAACTGCTTCACGCACTACGCCGAGACAAGGACCCTGCCCAAAGGCAGTGCCACTGAGGTGGCAAAGTTCTTCGTGAAGAACGTCGTCCTGCGTCACGGTGCTCCACAGGTCCTCATTACTGACAGAGATACGGCTTTTATGGCAGACCTAACTCAGGCGATCCTGAGGTACAGCCAGACAAGTCACCTCTGGACCACCACCTCCCATGACGAATGGCCTACCGAGTGTCTAAGACCATCGACGATATGCTGG